TGGTCCATATATTTGTTAAAGAAGCCAAATTAATGACCATATTACACATGGGATGAACCCATCAAATCTATCCCTTAATTTTGATCTTTCTTCTTCATTCCAAGTCTTGATCTCAATCTCTGAAAATATTCAAGTTTGAGAGGTTTTGTTAAAATGTCCGCAACTTGATCATGAGACTTCACATATTTGAGTTCTACCTCCTTCTTGGCAATGCATTCTCTTTTGAAGTGATACCTTGTATCTATATGCTTGCTTCGATCATGATACACCGGATTCTTGGCAAGTGCCTGTGCAAATTTGTTGTCAATACAAATCTCTGTAGCTTCAATTTGTGGCAAATTGAGCTCCTTCAATAATCTTCTCAGCCAAATAGCATGACATTTACAAGATGTTCCTGCTATATATTCAGCTTCACAAGTCGAGAGAGAAACAATGGATTGTTTCTTTGAACTCCAAGAAATAACAGAATCACCCAAGAAAAATACAAAACTAGTTAAGGAGAGAGGTGGAGTTGTATCTTGCACAAGTTCCACGGTCTCTGGTTCTTCTTCATCGCCAAATTATGGAAGAAAATCATATGAAGTTTCTTCCTGAGCTTCCCAATTCCATGCCAATTCTTCATCAAATTCAACATCACGACTCACCACCATCTTGCCGCTACTTGGGTTGTATAGCTTGTAGCCTTTTGAATTTGTATCATAGCCAACAAACACATGCTTGACACTTCGATCGTTAAGCTTCACTCTCCCTTGATGTGGCACATGAGCATAGGCTATGCTCCCAAAGATTCTCAAGTGCTTGACACTTGGCTTTCTTCCACTCCATGCTTCTTGAGGGGTTTGATCTTTAACATTCCTTATTGGAGACCTGTTGTTCAAATAAACTGCACAAGATACAGCTTCTGCCCAAAATTCCTTGGGCATACTTTTAGCTTTTAACATACATCTAGCCATATTAAGAACGGCAAAGGTCCAAATATACCCCTGTACTTTCGAAAATGGTCTAAGAATACCCCTCGTTATACTATTGAGTTATATATACCCCTGCAGTCATACTTTGAGTTCAAATATACCCCTCATTTAAATAGAGGGACACGTGTCATCATCATGTTGGTCAATTCTAAATATCTCCTAATTAATTAAAAAGACCCATTATTTGGTACCCGAAAAGCAATTTCCTAAAGCAATTGTTTTTGTAAAAACTAGAAAAAACTGATTTGTTTTACTAAAAACTGAAAATATGTTTTTTTTCCAGTTTTTACCAAAAAAAACTGCTTTAAAAAAACTGAAAAATAATTTTTAAAACAATGTTTTTGTAAAAAAAAAAAAAAAAAAAAAAAAAAA